TTATGCCTCATGCATTTCGAATGGCAATTAGTCCTAAATCTGTTATTCATTATTTTAGCTATTTTAATATCCGTCTAGGTGTAATCTTTTTACTGCAGCTTTTATAAATAGCGGCTGACCCTTTTCAAATCACGTCGATCAGATGCATAGCGATTAAAACCTGTGTTGTTTTAGGTTTCTTGGTCTACGATTTGATTTAGCCATTTTGCTATAATGAAAATAAATCTCTTACTAACAGTCAAATCCGCTTTATACGCATTTTAATAAAACAGAAGGGAGTAGATCTCAAAGACTCAAGGCACGGTATAACTATACCAAATTTTGTTATTCTAAGATGGTATCATCCTTGTGGTACCTAGATTTTGGGCAGTTGTTTCTAAGGGGGTCTCAAAGATTTTACATCTGTTGTGAACAGCTGAAGTGAAATAATTTTCAGGACCTGTTGGCGTCGATAGAACTTTGTTGCATAGTAATCTTTCTGAATGATCTAAATTTTTGTGCACAAAAGCGTGAAGGATAGAAAGGGAAAAAGGTTTACTCTGAAGTTGTTGAATCACACTGGCCATCGAGAATTCCACATAAAATCTGAAATGATTGTCCTAAGTATACGGAAAGTGGTATAATGGAAGATGCGGGACGGAAAATTACCTTGTTTTTGGCTACGCATGTTTGCACCTTAAGATTAACCAGACTTTTTTTTATCTTCAAATTTTCCACTACTGGTATTAACAGTATAAAAAAGGAAGTTAAAACATTTGTACTTATGATAACAGTACGTTCTAGAGTATTTTCTGTAATCTTACTATTAGAAAATTATGGTCGATTCAATTAAGGATAATTGAGAATTAGCTGTGGCATCCCAAGATCTATACGAAAGCATTTGTTTACAGTTTATAGTTCGATAGTTTTTTAATGTTTCAATTGATTAGAAAACTGCTACTAATGTACCTAGCCAACTCAAGGAAAGGTTAAATAAAATGCGCCGTGAAGGAAGTTACTGCATATATTGCAATTCTTTTTCAACTGACATATTCCTATGTTAATGTAGCGTTAGCCACTTGCCTCGTCTTTCCTAATCTAATGTTATCGCGTTCTCATGGTGAATGCAAAGGTGAGTGTGCTTAGATTTATTAGCGATTGTGTTGCTCTGTGATAGGGAATTAATCTCTATTTAGAGTACTATTTACGAAAACTACTATTTCAGTTTTGAACATTCTAACTCGGAGCACTACCTGAAAGTTAAGTTTTTATCCATATTATGATGAAAAAGATGAACAACATAGTACCCTATAAAAGTTACAACGCATTGTATTTTTAAATTAGCACATTTCAGAAAATTGTTAGGCGACATTCTGGAAAGTCGATTAAGTTTGTCTTAGTAAATCCATATACAAATGAGCTTTGCTTCTTTAGCATCTCCTACTTTAGTAGTATTTAAAAGCTAACTTCCAAATGCGTAACCAAAAGATATATTTTTTGACATAATTTTGAATTTTTTTCGGAAATCTGTTTTATTTTTTGTATTATTTAAATAGTTACTTTAAAAAATTCAGGATGAGGTGGAGTTAATAACAAATGCTTCCAAAAAAGACAATATGGATATCGGTATCAGAACAGATTGTACATTCCTTTTAAAGGCAAAATGTACACGCCATTTTTTAATGGAGCAAAATACAAAGCTTGCGATGACAATGTAAACATTATATTAAGACAAGTTGAGCCTTTTTGTAGATAAATGCGTGCGAATTTTAACAGTTGTGACATGCACATTTTTATAAAACCGCCAATGCCTATAATTAAGTCAAAGTCGCTTTTATTTATTGGCTTAAGCTTTAGGTTTATAAAAATTAAAACAAAAGAAAAGATGCTTGGTTAAGTATTGTAATGATGGAACTCATGATGAATAAGGATGATAGAAGCCCACACAGGAATACATAACAAGCAAAAGCGTGATTAAAATAAGAAACTTCGAAAGAAGTATTAAGAATGGTAATCATTGTGTATATATATTCAACTCCACCTTTCTTTTTACCAAAACCTGTGATACAGGAAAAAAAAACACTCGATGATGTTTTTGTAAAAATTGTTGTTTAGCCTCCTTTAAGCGCGACGTGATATGCAAATTCTATAATAAGTGTTTATTGTTCAATTGTATTCTGTTGGTATTTTAAATTATATCTTGGTTTTGACGTTACCTGGAAGCATCGTGTCCTATTAAATAGAACGCGAATAGACAGAATTTGTGATTTTATATAGCTGCATGAAGCTCTTATAGTAAAGGAACGAAGGAAAAATTGTTAAGTGTGTTTGTTCAATTTCATATTGGGTTTCTTTAAACCTTTTATTGCTTTTATCTTCTTGAATTCTTCGCACTCAGTATATTGAGTATAGGCATATGCGAACGTAAGCATACGGAGCTGGAGTTCGTATACGTACACATGGCTTGTTTTATTGATTATATTGGTCCGCCAGGGACAGGCCAGTTCCTATGATAGAACGTGCAATCAGCAAATCATTGTCAAACAGAGACGTGAAGTCCTAGAGTCTAGACACTCCTGAATATTTAACAGTTAACGCGATGTAGCGATGAATGCGGAATCGGATATACGTTGAGCTCTTGCAATAAACTGAAGTTTAAGAGTTTAAAACATGATGAAAGCCGCATAGTAGTCCGTTCAGAATTCGTGTTTTCTTTTATGACGAAGATAGTGGGAAAGAAGTGATTGACTATGACCCAAATGCATTTTAATAAGTCCTTGCACTGGAAAAACCAAAAGTGAGATGGACTCATTGCCCAATACTACGAAGAGCATCCAAAATAAATTGCAACAGTGTAACCACCAAGTTTTTATAATCTCCAAATATCAAAAGAGGGGCCATTTTAAGGACGAGTTTATCTGCCCTCTGGCGGTATAAACGTTCGTACTTTGACTCTTTCGCAGGTGTTTGGGACTTCTGGTTTACTAAATAATTTAATTTTCCAGGTTTTTTTTTCAGGTTGCAGAAATCCCAAAATTTCTATAGAAAATATTTCGCTGAATGCGTTCGCGTTGAAAATAATAGAGGATAACGATAACAATTGATATCTGTACACCAGATGAACGCCTTCGATTTCGATTAGTGAATCTTTAACCAATCGGAAACTTCGTGCAATCTGAAATCGGTATGACGCTAGGGGACAAATTATTAGATTATCTACATTTCCTAAAGTGTCAGTGCAATACCTAGCTTCGTATGTCCTGTTCGTAAGAGCAGACGCAAAAAAAAGATCACCCACCGCAAATAGTGAAGTGGTGGAATCATAACGGAAGCCAAAAAATCTAATCATTTATGTTATACACCACGAGTTTACGTTGAAATAGTAAATGCGTTCTTGAAAGACATACTTTATTCGGTATCAGCAGGTTCCACTAATTCGGTAATTGCTTTAATTTCAAAGTAAACCCTCGTTGGCAGAATTGTGTTAAACAACCCGAAAGAGTCGTCAATATCAGGAAAATTAAAGTTTCCAGATTTATAAAATTATTTATATATATATATATATATTAAATGAGTTTCGTTCGTCTCTAATTGACTGGGTGAATGTAGAATAACACTAGCAGTGATTTTTAGTTAGTCAGAAAGAATTAACTGTTTTGCATTGTTTATAAGTATCGAACGAAGATAGTGTGTGAACCATTGGTCTTTGCAGTAAAATAACTGTTTTATACATATATAGATCACGAACCGTTTTGTTTTTTAAATTACACGGGATAAATGCACGATTATTTTAAATTCAGAAAAGAGCTAGTTTTATATAAACAATGCATACGTCTATATAACGTATTTACCGTGTTAAGACATCGATACAGACAAATGCGTTTTTGGGTTGTGCTTTTTTTAGATTTGTTACGTGTGGCTACCGTTTTCGAGATGTCATTCGACACATCGTTTTCGTTTAATATTTCGTTAGTTCTACTTCAGAATGTATTCATCGTAGAATGACCATAGAATGTACATATAGATATATAACGCATGCTTAGAAACCATACGGAGTGCACGTTTAGCTTTTTTTTTCTGCACATTTCCGGCAGAATTGCGGTGCACATCTAACTCCTACAGCAAAAGCGATGGTTGTGCCGAAGATTAAATACACAGCGTAGGTACTCGTCGTATATAGCTTAACGTACGGTGTATAGTGTGGTTTACGATCTAGGCGAATTGTTCCACAAAAATTCTGCCCTTTTAGCCGCTAAAGCAATTTCCGTTTACTTTGACAGCTGACCCCGTTGACGGTGCGTTCGCAGCCACCTATCAGCGCAGTAGTTGCATGCTGTTTCGCAAAGGATATGAAGTCCGGTAGTTACGCTCTAACAAGTTTGTTCCCAACGCCATCATACTGATACGATTCCTTTGCGTCTTGTAAGAATGTACGGATAAAATATTCTCCACTGCAATATTCTCTGCATGATGCTTCCTACCCTAAATGCTCAAACAGATACGCTTCCACGTTCCCGTGCCGTCCAAGCAGTTCGAACCATTATGTTGGGTCCGGCAAAAGTACACAAGCAAGCCTCAGCGTGTGCTCGTGCGACTAGCCGTAGACACGCATTGCCGTTTCTAATGACCTACTTCATTGCGTCGGCCATGAGTTGTTCAGTGGAAATTTTTAGTGGCGTCACGAGTTCCTCCACTTTCTGCGAAAGGTTCTACGACAGACCTTAGCGTCGTATTCTGGCCGAACGCTCCCTCTAATCCACAATTGACTCGAATGATATCCCCCTTCCCCCGCTGGAACCAAATATGGTGACAACGCACCTGTACTGACATAAATGTAATTTATTCTGGCGGCATCCGGACTTTGTAGCGATAGCGACGAAAATACCTATGATTAGAGCTTTCGTGCGTGCTGTAGCGGAGTTATGTTACATATGTACAACTCTACAATTTCTTAATTTTTCGACAGAAATGGAATTAGAGATTTCTATAAGGGTTTAAGTTTTAACAAAACTTGACGAAACTGCCTCCTTTTTTATTTTATTTCTGATATCAATTAAATTCAGTGTGTTTTCATAGTATCGATTATGATTTTCTCAAGCACAGTCTAGATAAAAGCTTAATTGTTGGAACCGTTTATACCAACCGATAACAGGATCACCATGTTGTTCCTTAGCCAAAAGGCTCCAGTAATGTGTAATTAGGTTTTCTAAGAACTTCATAATAATTTTTAAGACGCTTTTTCATAGTTCGTAACGCACTACACCGCAGTAATAGTGCTATTAGGGATCGATTCCTTCATTTGAAATTTAATCTTAAGAATGTGAATGTTTAAGGCACCAGACGTTTCTTCAGCCGGTTAACCATGGGCGAAGCTCTCCGCACAGCCGCGCGGCAGTCGAGGAGCTTCTTCGCATCTTCTTGGTGGTTGTGACTACGAATAGCCGCGTTTAACAGCAACAAATTAAAAACATCTCGTTGAGCGTCTGATCCCCCCATCTGCACCAGCTGAGACTCAAGAGGAATCAGCACCGAAGCGCATGCATCGAAGTTGCCTGCATTTGCAAGTTATTTTGGATAATTCTGCTAAGATCAGCTGAATATATATATTTGATAAAGAATTCGCACTGCTAGAAAATCGGATAACAGCCTAAGCTTGGCTAATCGTTTATGAATGAAAAGGTAACACTCTCATTCCGAGCAGCCAGAATGATGTAATCTTTTAACGCCGGCAAATATAATAGAACAACTAAAAATGTGCTATTTTGTTGGATACCTTCACTGTAGTCTTTCATTGCTTGGATAAGTTTTTTACCAAACAGCGTAGTTATCTTCGTATTATCTATTTCTGCCACATCCTCAACGGAATTCAAGGACCCCTGTTTGGAAATGTAGGAGAACAAGAAAAAAAAATTGTCACACAAGCTCCGTTGCATCTACATTCTAAATAGCCTTTACGCTCTAAAGTTTTTATAGCATATTTCATAATTGGTATGCGGAATATAGGAAAATTGGAGCACATGTGCAAATAATGATTTCTTATCAAGTTGTATTGGCCTGCAGACAAGTCGCACACTAAAATGAAAAATAACTGAAAGGAAAATTTTTGGGAGGCATAATAATCGAATCGTACCTGAAGCGAGTAACTCGCGTGTTTTCAAATAGAAGCTGAATAAGTTAGTTCGATAATTTGACCTCCCAAGTTCATCGACTAAAGAGCAGGGTTTTAAGTTATCCAAACCAAAAAGGCTCTCACCTAACGTATGAATTAGATTGACTGACTAGGCAGTTTAATGAAAAGACAACAGAAAAGTCTGTTACGCTCGTCAATTTTATAGTGAGCGCCATGTCGATTTATAGTAATTCTAATATTGTATCGTGTGGTCTGAGATTCTTGGTGCTACAGTTGTTGAAATGGGTACTTCTAGCTTCTCGAAAGAGACTCTGGCCTTTGCCTATTATTTTCTAAAAAAAAAAGGTTTTTAATCCTGCTTTGTGTAAACTATACTTCGGTAACGTCGCAAGATTAGCCTGTTACTGAAAGACGGTAATGCGGCACGATTAAACTGTTATTGAAAGACGGAACGATTCCTTAATTAGTGATAAGTGCCGTGCTTCACCATTGTAGGTCAGCAACTCCGGGTCCGGCCGAATGGCCGCATGGAATATGGGAGGCATTTTGGAGTACGCCAAATAATGAAGAAAAGTCGCGAGCATTGCCGGGCTCCAGGCGCCTATATTATGACAATGCACTTCGACAAAATAAGTTTAGACTTTACTATGTCATAGAATGCTCCCCTCCTTTTTACATTAATAGGCAGGGGTTACAAGCGTTGTCTGCCCTTTAGAAATCTCATAGAGCATGGATTTCGTTAACAATAACAATGCAAATAAAAATTTTGTGGTGCTAAACCTGCCGTAACCTGCCCCATATTGAATGAACCGCCGGAGTAGACAACCTGCACGAGTATGGAACGGCTGTTAACTTATTTGCTAAAGCAGCCTTGCCATGAAATTGTCCGCGGAGGCCTTTACGACTGATACTACAGTCTCTGGGTGCAGATTCGTTCGATTTGCTATATGGGTTTGAAGTTGTGTTACTTGATCGACTTTCGGAATGGCGGGTTAGCCTAGAGGCAGTCGCCTTTTTTTTGAGCTCAACAGGGAGGCCCAGAACTTTACCAGCTGAAGACGGGTCCCGAGAACATTTCCCTTATGTCGATCGTTTCGACCCAGGGAGCCCATTCTCCTTACTATATTCTATTAACAGTCCTAGACCTTTCCAGTACTGAAGCGATGACAGCATTGTTCTCGATAAGCGTGATTAAATAATAGACTTACAAAATATATAAATGCATTTGCGATTCCAGTAGGCGGTAAGAAATGTTGAAGTATGGAAACCTTGTCCACCCATACCACAGATCTTCCATACAGTTCTTTTGTATTCCTGAATGTGAAAATACATCTGCCCATGCATCAGTTCTTTAACGCAAAAATTTTCCTTGTCGGGTGGAACGTTCTTCCCAAAAAATTATCAAAATCTACCTTTCTTTCAAATGACTTCCACCCCACAAATGTTTCACACAGTCTTGAGTTGGGATTATGAAGCCACTTAATGCTGCTCTCCAAATATATACCTGGAACTTATTGAAGTGTTCTTTATCTTTAAGTCCAAGAAGGGTCATGGCAAAGTGAGCATCGTTGAATACTAGAATGTGGTCATACAGGTGCTCTTTGGTAACCGCATACAGTGAGGTCCATCTGAAAAGGAATAATCGTTTACAACTTAATGGCTCGTCCTGTTAGTCCGCTTTGATCTCTGATAAGTTGATTTTCTGCATGCCGTTGGTGGCTGAGGCAGTACTTAGGCTGGTATTTTCAAACAGCTTGTAAGTTGTATGAATCTCGAAATCCATACAAAAAAAATTTTAGGGAGATTTTGCTCGCAATGAAAAAGAACCTTCACAATTATATGCAGGATGTGAATTTGCCCATGAAACGACGCGCAAGGGATGATTAATGTGCAAGTCATAAATCTGTCAGTGCCTAACTTACGAGCCAGCTGGCTTTTTCTATGTTGCTTCACTGGTTGTTTAAACAAAGTTTACTCTACCGTTCTTATTTGGTACATCAGTATAGCACATAAGCCGGATAGTATGCTGACGTTGTTTAATCATATTTCATAGAGAAGGGCGAACACTACTGCTTATTATATTCTGCAGACTTTTTTTTAGTAAACGAATTTTAGCTAGGCATGCTTCTCAACTACGTATTATGTTCCTCGAACGTTGGATATATCATTTTTAAGATGAGCCTCCACTATAGTATAGAGCATTGCCATTACCCGATTCTTGCAGAAGCTAATGTATCAAGAGTAAAATATCAAGGAACTTTTTCAGTTGCAGATACACAAGCCATACGTGCGAGAATTTACGTAATCATAACTCAAAAGCGAACCTTAGCAACCAGCCGAAGTATCAACACTGGATCGTTCATATATAGTGGTCAATCTAGGTAAAACTTCAGAATCTAATACGAAATTTAAACTCGATGAAAGATTTCATCTTTTGCATTTTTATGATTCTTGGGAATAAATTTATATACTTTTATCATACTTCGATAATTGAACATAAGTATGTAAGGGCATTGCGATGCATTTCACATCATTTTGATGTAATTTGTTTGTTTGGTACATAATTAAAATGTAGAAATAACCGCATTATGATCTTTATCTAGTCACCTCCGCCCAACGTTGATTCCTTCAAGTTCGAGTCTATATAATAGACTGGCGCCGTCGACGTAATCCAGCATAGAGCCGCTTCCGCAACGCTTCTCAACCTAAAACAACCATATAATGCGGAAATCAATAATACCTCATATAGACGAAAAAGCTAAAATTTAAGGTATTTGCTCTTATTCGGGTAATTTATGCGAAAGATTCTCAAATGCCTAAGAATTATTCAAAAGATGACTCAGTCTGTCAGTAGCGGCAGCTATCCAAGAATAAATACAAAATAGTGCATAATAGTAATAAGTAATGCACAAAGCCAACCCAGTGGCCAATAACCAACGTAAATCTAGCAAAAAAGGCAATTCGAATAAAACCAAATACTGCTTTTGTTTAATCATTCATTTTGCAGTGCACATAGATAACAGTAGTTCCGAAAAAGTTGGAAAAGGTCATAATTAATACTTAGTTCTGGCGTCACTATTATACTACTATCCGTATCTCTTCGAACTTCTTTTGGCAAATTACGATGAATGGAGGCTTGAGATACATAAAATAAACAGAATAGACAGATGTACAATGTTTAGGACTACCGTACTTTTATAGGCCTGAACAAAAGTTGCAAATGAGTAAGTGCGTGTACCTCTCACGGACTATTCTTGTGTATCACCAGCTACCGTACTATCAAAAAACAATGACGGCAGCCGTTAAGGTAAAACTGTGTAGCCAAAATGAAGAATGAATGAAGGGTTGCATTTTACTGCTGTTATAGATAGCTAATACGAAATCTGCGCATATATAGGTCATGTCCTTCCCATTCAGTACAAACGTATTTGGAGTTAGTCCTTTTTAAGCTTTGTTTTCACCATTCGCTAAAGTTTAAGAGGTGTTAAGGTACTCAGTAATGAACAACAGTTCCGGTGTGAGTATTCCTATAGAAAGCTAAATTGTCACTTAAAGACACTTTTGCAACAAAGATTGTTTCTGAAATGAGCAAAGACTCGGCAGTTAATTTGCAAGCATTTGGTGATGAGTAATTATGTTAATATTTAAGGTTTAACTTAAATTTCGCCAGTAACTCACGTTATATAGAAATGCTACACGCATCCTAAGCATTTCGACAGTTCGACGAAAATACTTATTTGATTTCCTAAAGTACATTACTTTGGACATCTAATGCGCTCTCATTACTGGTCTCAGCTAAACATTCAAGCTCTCAATGTTATGTTTTGTACTCCTATGGTTTTTATAGAAGTAGCTAGTCATGATAGTTTAGTTTATTTTCCCTGATGATCGCTTCGCTGATTGGATATTCAACTAATTGATAGACATACGTAATCAGTTCATCATCAGACTCTCAACCTGAATCAAAACGGTATGTTTTGCAGAGTAATTACTTGTATTGAACAGTGTACAGCAACACAGGAATTGGTGAATTGTCAGGATATGCATTTGTGCTAAGGTTATAATAATTTACTTTGGTGCCCGTTACATATAAGCATCCGTCTGGGTTAAGAATTTAGAATAGCTTTTTACGACAAACGAAGTTTAGTAAATACTTTAGATAATTCTGGTTATCTGTGACTATAAGCTGGTAGCTTTAAGTAACCAACTTAAAAGTCATTAGGGGATAATACGTTTAGAGGCACAGATATCGTTGGTTGCGGAAATCAACGCGTAGCGACTAGTTTGTTTATACAAGGTAAGAGCGTTGGTAAAACCCATTGAAGATTGATCACAGTTTCTTTATCACAGTTTGCAACAAAATCACAGCTTATTATCGGTGCACTTATTAAATGACGGGGATTAAAAAGTTGAAGGCCACAGACGAGGTAGTTACATCTCAAGATTTCAAATGGAAGAACAAGTTGCTGTCATCACGAAAGACTTTGAACAAGACATAACCTGAACAACGGGTTTCCTATCACTTCAGTAGAGATGCCTCGAAACCTGTGAAACCGATGAAACTGTAACGAAAACACTAAACGATAAAAAAACAACGGTTTCTTTACAAATTAGGTTCAAATTTATATAATCTACCGTTGATTCTCTTAGAGAAGCGATACTTACGAGTGCAAATACCAATGTAAATTAGAAATGCACACCTGTTTGGATGTTCCCAAATAGCTGACCTCAATGTATATATATAAATGGAAATACATATCTGTTAAAATATTGTCTTCTTTATTCTCCTTTATAATGTTTAGAAGTTATACAAGTTTTTAGATTTTCTCAATTGTTCCGCACAACACAACAATATGAAACTTTGAGCAGGAATGACACCCGTAAAAAAATTTCGCAAATGCAATTCAGACCATCTTCTGATAATAATATGAATGATGATAATGAATGAAAATAAGAGACGAAGCCTGAAACAAAAAAAAAAGTTAGCCAACGAATACACCGTTGTTATCGACGATCGGTATTGCTTCTCTTGTAAAATAGACGAAAGAACAAGAAATTTTAGCGCCGAATGAATAAAGTGTAACAAATATAAGATGGACGACTACGTACGATAAAACAATACGCACTAAAAGGAATGGCTTACCTCTGAATCAAAAAGGTCGATGGCTGCCTCAGTTTCTCCTTTTTCAATGTGATACAGTGCCCAGTGCCAGAAATTATGACATGCCAAGAGGCCGCATGGCTGCCAATCTGCAACCGTTCGAGACATGAACGATATTCCTGCGACCATAATTATACAGAATCAAAAAAGTATAAATTAATAGCCTTCAAACTCAGTCTTTTAGGTCTGCTTTAAATGAACTGTCTTAAGCAAGGCCAAACGACAGTTTTAAACATTCATTAGGTTTGCCGTAAGTCGGCACAAACAATTCTACGCATGGTACTGTAGATAATATCTACGATAGTTCTTCGCTGCGAGAAAGCAATAGCAGTACATATGGGGAATCAGATTTTCAATCAGGCATTTGCCTGATTATTTATAAGATATTTGCAATAAGTTCTTGTTTTGACACAACATAATTATATCAATTGGCATCTTCGATTTATGCACGTCGACATGTCTTAGTTTTGTTAAAAGTGCATGGGAATTGCATTATTTGGCTGCGACGGGGGGGGGGGGGGGGATTTTTTTGCTCGCGCTAGCTAAAACGTGGTGATGCGGAGACATATACACTCTATATATATATATATATATATATATATATATATATATATTTATATAGTCTACATATATAGACGTTCTATGAAGTTATATAAACTTCATAGAACGTCAAACCGTTATTAATCGGAATAACCTTGACTGGGCTGTGTAGTCATCTCGAACACGTGCGCGTTGGCGTGCGTTGCCCACGCGTCATTCCGATTAAGCTCTAAGCCCCGAAGTGCCATTTGTGATGCCTTTTCATAAGAGCCGGTTTCACATAACCCAAATGCTTGCATACCTGTTATCGAAACGTTCGGTAATACAAATAATAATAGAAAAATATTGTCAAATAGAGTAAGGGAACAAAGGTAGGCTCATAATTTAGTAAATGTGAGTCTTTAGTTAGAATAGTATATGTTTACGCTTCGCAAAAACGATGCTTACAGGTCTATGCTGAACTGTACTATCTGTTTTAGCCGTATGTATAAAACGTGTCTAAATAACTGGGAGTTTTTTTTCTTAACTGTAGGCTTGATTGCTTAATTTGCGTCTCTAGCCTCTTAATATTCAGCAACCTACCTAAATTAACATATGGGAACATTTACATATAGTATACTATACAAAGAATTGAGCTTAAGAAATTAACAACAATCCCTACAGTGAATTGGTAATGAAATCTCTCATTTTAAAACTGAAATGACTCTCTTGCAATCTCGAATTAAGACATTCCTCGCGCACAGTACGTGTTTTCTGATTATCAACTTTTCAATACATCTTCACAATCTATTCTCTCCATTTTGAGATCTGACATTCCATAAAGGCTAATATTTTCATCTTCGCACGCAATTGAAACCATTTGTATTTGATCCTTCAGCTATCCTCTGCCTTGGGTGCCTCATAGCTCCCAGCTCGAAAGTGCTCAGGACACTACTACAGAAAAGGGCCCCGTAGCCCTGCAATTATCATATAATACGGTCGTCATTTCATTGTCTAATATCCTGATAATAAGATATATTATATGTACCGTAAAGGTAGCTGTACAGAGGAAGGTCTGTTTTCCACTTCGGCATAACTCTCTCAATCGAGGTGCGCATATCCTGTTGTTTGCCTGGAAAGACAGCATATGAACCATTGAATGTAATTTAGCCTATAACAAACCTACGCTTAGCTTTTCGCTCCTCTCGTGGGGTAAACAGTGGAACTGAATACCAAAACAAAATCGAAAAGAACGAAAGAATGATCTAGTTTCACGGGGGTAATGTAAGTATATGCACATAAAAGAGCTGACAATTCAAGAATTCGCCTCAGCTATACAATTAGAAGTATCTTTAAACATTTCAAATGCTATTTATTTATAGCTTCGGCGTTTCGTGAAGAAAAAAGCACAACAGGATGAAACACATACAACTAAAAGAAAAGATAAATTTGAAACCAGCAATGGATTAAAATGTATAACCCATACTTTTCAATGTATAACCAATGCGGTGGTTTCAATGTATTCCATGTCAAACATTTTGAATCTTTTTAATGCTCACTTTTTTTTGGACTACTATTTTGCGGTAGTATCTCAATCTGCTTGATTTTTTTTTATACTCCACGTCTGGTCCTCTGTCATATGTATATTTTTCGAATACATTTTGGAGGTGGGCATATTTCAGAAAATAGCGTTTCTATTTTAAAGCGTAGTAGCATTGGAATAACATTCCTTAACCTTGGCGAAACAAAATGCTTGTAAGGGTTATAAAACTAAAATGTGCAGTTTTTGCCAGCAAATAACACAGTTGGAAAAACAATCGCTTGATACAGAATGTCCATGGAAGCTCAATATCTCTTGTGAGATGCGTTGCTGTTTGAATATTTGACCTAACTTATGTCAACGGTCATTTATGATAGTGTAAAGACACATCTGTTGAAATCTGTTATTTTGTTCTTTCTAATGCCCCTCCAAGACAGCTTAACTTATTCACCGCGCTCAGATTTTATGCTTGCTTGACAGGCAATAGCTATCTCCATCAGCCAACAGTCCTTCCATGCCATCATGTTTGTTCAAAGAAAGGCTTCCACGTCGAACCCATGTAATCCCTAGGGTTAGCAGACTGTTTTACCCCACCACAACGTGAGAGTTGGGACAATGTTAAGATCTCGTAGTGGAACACCCCTATGAAAAATCTGCCGTATATTTTAAAAAAACGACAGGCCTGAACTGCTGTGAGGGCTGGTGGCAAAATGAGAGTAAAAAGAACATATGAAGGGCGTAATAACTTTGGCATGGTAATAATTTGAAGGCCCTAGCTATGTTGTGGTTGCATATCCTATATAAAAATAAACAACGAAAAATATTAGCATAGAAGAGATGACTTAGTTATTGAAAGGTAGATATGGTCGCATTTAGTTAATAAGAAATCCATGTAACTAACGAAGTGAATCCCTGTCTGATATGCATGTTTAGCTACCATAAAAGTTAAATTGTTAAATAAATAATTTGAAATCCTCAGTAATGTTGTTTTCTGCGCGTAGAATCTCGTTATTTTCATCTGAATCGTGGCAAACAACAGGTAATTTATTTGTTCCGGACCAAAAAAAATCTTATTTTCTAGGTTATATGATTCTAATTTTGATCGGTGCACACATTGTAATGTGGTACGGTATTAAATACAGTAATCAATTTTTTGTTGCGATCAGGCAGTTAGTCTCTTGGATTTGTATTTGCTTTGAATAGAGGATTAACGAGGTTGAGTGCTCCACTGATGCTGAAATTTCCCTTAATCTACTTATGTCTTTACCGAGGTAGAAATAACAGTCATGTGCAGCCTTTATAGCCAGCATATCCGTTGGGTGACTCTGAAGGATCTTCTCCCAAACCTCGCAGGCAGTATGCATGCTACCCTCAGCTAGACGCAAGGCTGCCTCAAGGTGCAGCCTCTCACGTTCGCTTACACCTTGAATCTGCAAACAAGAAGCCGCATCATTCAAGCGCATAGCTGTTAAGTTTCACCAGAGTATGAACACGAAAACCGGTTGATCATCAGTGTCACCGATTACGAGTGAAAACTCACACCTTGACAAGCTAGTGCTAGGGTATCAAACGTACTTTGGCAATGCCGCGTAAAAATTTGAGTTCCTCGATGATCTTTGGATTTTTTTTCCCGGAATCACCTGTGCCAATCAGATTCAGAGTGTGAACGAGCACCTTGCCTAAGACGAATTCGGGATCGGCTGACACCATTTTTTCCATCGCCGTGCCCAGACCTTAGGGAAAAACGATATGTACAACGTAGATAACAGGCAACCCGAGCGGTTAATATTGTACCAAATCGGCGCGCGGCTTGGATCACAGCAAACGCATAACGACTAATTGACATTTTTATATTTAAAGCTTCTCAAATAAGATATCAATGTCATTGTTTCTCAAATAAGATATCATTAAGTGCCTTCAATTAATATTACGTGTCTTTCGTTATACACTTCTCATTTATCTCAACACTGTGTGGCAAAATTAGACTTTTTTTGCCCGGAAAATCAATTAATGCATATAAACACGCTGTCTGTTTTAAACTTCCTCCTCTTTAAACTACCATAATTTTGTAAGTTAAGACAAAATCAAACGCTGGTGTTTTAGTGCGATTTAAATGTACCCTCTTTTATTGTTATACACTAGCGCCAGCGTTTTCAGAGATTATGTTGCTAACTGTTTTTCTAATTTCGCTATTTATTTTTTTTCACGAATTACCTATCTTAATGCATCGAGGCAATCATCGTCATGGAGATCTTGAAGTGTAGAGTGTAGCCAATATTATTAGCTCTAGGTTTAGACCACTTCATTATTATTACTATCAAGAACCCACTATGATATGGACTCATTCATATATTTATTTGACAAGCTTTCCGATCATTTTATATCGAGAAAAATTTGCAATGCCATTCGTTAAAACTTGTAGGAACCATCAGATCAAATTTATCTAACACTGGCAACGATTTGTCCATTTCATTAGGTTAAAGTCATTTTTTTGCTAATAATATTAATTGAAGTCGCTGACAAATTTAATGTATTGAAACTACATGTGCGTCCATCCTGCCTTGAACGATTCTTTGAAGGATCAATTTTTGTATGTAGTGCTTAGGTCTTTATAAAATGTGTTCCAGGGATTACTAAGTTAGTCGATTAAAACTTGAAAGTCGACACAAATCTTCATTCTTCTCCTCATCAGTCAGTTGCAAGACTTGCGCTAACTGTATGCAAACCGTACTATGGATTTTCTTAGAGCAAATGTGTTACAAAATGTTTAACCGTATATCAACAAACACTAGCTACGGTCAATACAAATCCTTACCCGTGGATTTTAATCGATTGTGGCTTAAAACTTTTCTTAAAAAAACTTTACTAACTTGTGTGTATGTAACGAATTAAAGGCAGGTATTTTTCCACCAAATATGGTTTTTCGGCAACTTATAAAAAAAATTAATAGTTTTGAACCACCCGCCGTACACTATTACAATCTCACATTTACCTAACTGTAAGAAAATGGAAAACATTTATCGAGAGACAAGAAAATATTTGTATCTAGTCTATGAAGTACTTCAAATATTGCGTTTCAAATGTATCGATCGTACTTAATATGGATAATTTCAATAACGTAAAAAACATACCATATTCGTCCTCCCTCCACGCAATAAACTGCGATATACAAGAGTCGAACATCCTTGATGCTTCATTGCTTGTTGTTGTAATTGGAAGGTTCTGAGACTGCCATCCAGCTATATCGCGGTACACATGAAACGGCATTTCGCCTGTCAAAAAAAGTTAATTTTTCAAATGATTATTTAAACTTTAGTGTGAACCCATGGTGTTATCGCTATAAAATATCGACAGAATTTAGATAACACCATGGGTCACACTTAAACTCCGCTAACGTGTTTATAAAAAATAAAAAATTCGCCCACGTCTTTTACTATGTTTTATTGACACGTAATGCAGACACGCATGGCAAGCCCAGACCAGCAAGTTCTTGGCCTGAGCACTCAAGGGTTAATCCTGTGCAGATTGAGCTACGACCATAGACATTCTTAGCACTTTGTAGCAACCTAGAACTTTGTTATTATTATTATTATTATATTATAACTAGCATTACTGTAGACACCACTAGCTCATAAAATCGTAAAGTGTAGCTGACTAATAAGTAGTAAGCATTAGCTTACAGAACAGCTATAACGATTCAAAGCACTATGAAAGCATTGGCGCTTAAGACACACTTTCGTGAAGAGCTGTTTTTAATCCTTTACTTAGAATCCTTACCTTAACTTATACTCTTGAAATAAGGAGTGAAGCATGTGATACTCCAATATATTATTACTCTTCTGAGAGAATTGATGATACTACGGCAACTAAGGCTAATAAGGGAGGTCAATGATTCTTCCTTTCGAGATTCAAAAAGCATATCTAAAACTTAATAGTTGGTTACTCGGGATATCCACTGAACAGTAGCTATTGTCTTTCGGATAATGTGTAACCTGATCATTCTTCGCACCTATTCTCCGTTAGGAGGGTAAAAGTTCTGTAGATTTGGATCGCTAGTATCAGAGTCGTTTTATAACATTCGCTTATCAGGACATAATTCAAAGCAATTCAGTACACAGATCTATGGAGAGGAATACAATCATTTTGTAATAATGGCTTCAAATAAGAGTTACTGGCGGTTTTGCTACCTACTATCTACTTATATTAAAACAAAGCATAACTCACATCGAAAGATAACAATTTAGGAATTAATTAAATGAAAGGAACTCAGTATAAACCTTTTTATGAAGAACAATATGCAGCCAGGAATCGTCACGCGAAACAGCTGATGTGTTCTCTCCCTTTTAGGCCCGGATTCAATTCACCAATAAGTGGTCACTGGATGTAGCAACGCGGAAGTACTGTGTGCAGCAGCTTTCCTGTTCAGTTTGTGACCGATGCAAGCGAACTGCGTTTTCTGTTTCTATGAAATTCGATAGCATCGCGCCCTTTCTTCGGCGGCTTGCCTAAGCCCGCGGTCTATCGTTGTTTATCAACTGTCGGCTGCCCCCAACATCTTTTACCAAGTTACCGATTCCAGTGTTCGTTAACGATTCCTTAGAGCATGTTGTAGTTAATCAATTCTTTATCTACTAGTCTCTGAGTCTTTGAGAAACATTAAACTTTGCAAATGGATGTTTTAATGATGGCCCAAACAAAGCACTTAACCTATTTTTTATAAAATCCATGGAGACCGAACACGTAAGATATATTCAGTAATCGGTTGGCTTATTTATTATCTACCAGTTTAACGAGCTTAGCCGCCGGTCATCGTTGAGACGAAACGAAGTAAAATACTTAAATGAGGTTATATTGAATTAAATTATTTTCTTAAATTTATGTCATGTCGCTAAAAATTTAGTTCGTAATACATTCATTTTACATCAACCGCGGTTTTTGTGTCCACTTTACGAACCTAGTAGTGTATTTATGATTGTCTTATAGTTCTGTTCTAGTGATTGTTTACAGGCTGAATGAAAAAGATTCATATAGATTGCAAAAAATGGAGTAATGGGTTGGATTTAAATGGTAAATTAAGGATAGTAAGTTTTTGGTATCAGGAAACCATGTTTGCTGTTGTTGCTTCTTGACTAAGTTGTTATCTAAGTGTCATTGCCAGATACTATAAATAAAAATTAAGTATTATATAGTTTGATCACACTCAACGGTTTAATAGCTTGGACACTCTAACAAGATAATTATTTAGTAGGTATGTGGTGCAATCGAATCTGTGCAATCAGATTCGTCAATTGACAAATATTAAAAATAGCTTATCTGTTTTAAAAAACGCTTATATGGTGGACTCATGGCACCCTCAGGAATATATGCTTACCAAGATTGTCACGTTTGTAGTAGGTAAAGCAAAGATCACAACCAAAAATGTTTAATGCCAAAAAAATTTAGAAAGCGGGAAACATGAACAGAATAAGCTGATTACTTGTCCCGAATCATCTAATGAGAAAAAGACAATTACTATTATTTAAAAAGTATAAAAAAGTTAATATGATTACATTAGTTTGTTTTATCTGACCTGATTAGTAAATGACGCACCATTAGTAGCAGTACGATTATTTTCACGATTCGGCAACATTTAAAATCTGGTGTTTTTCTGGGCCCATATATGGAATATAAAGATCAACTTGATTCTCTTGTAGAAAGCAGAAACTTGTGCCAGTCACGGAGCTCGATGCATTTTGATTTTTGAGATTGTCAGTACTTCGTGATAATCTTTAACACACTACAAAATTTGCTCTTCTTTAGCGAGGCTTTAAGAATGAAACCTTTATTGATTGATAGGAGAGATTTATCGTACTCAATTAAACTTTTAGAGAGAACGACGAACTTTGTGGCTTTGTGTCTAGCCTGAAATTGGAAATAACATAGAGATATGGAAAAGAAAAAGTAATTTCCTTTACACATATATTTTTTCATCCTAGCAATACTTGAGACAGAACTCTGTCACGTACTGTAATTATAAAATAAATATACTGTAATTTTAGATATTTGCTAAAGTTTAACGAATGCGTTCGATAAACTTCGTTAATTGTAAGTGCAAAAAAAATATTTTCAAAAATGGTGATAAAATGTTATAGGGGCTACTCTATTTTTCCTTAAATATTTTGAGAGATTTTCAGACTTAATACAAACTGGATTCGTGTAGTACAGGCAACTAAGCAAAGCTATCATACGAAACGATTTTAGGTCAATAAAAAGCTATAGCCCATTATCTTATTTCGTTTGCCTAACCATTTTAGCTACCCTATAGGTAATAATTAGAGAAAAACTAATTTAGCGTAGATCCACGCTTGAAAGCAGATCTTGACTTCATGTTTTATAAACATGTAGAAATTAATGAGTACTCTCTTATTTTTTTAAACCGCGCTGTAGGTATCGAACGTGCTATAGCTAGCTTCAACCTGCAACAATACATTTTTTTTTTGCTTGTTTTCTTGTTTTGAATGAATTACATGTCTGAATCGACTTCATCTTTTCAGATCGATTCATGCTGGTGAGCAAGTGAAATCGTATTGTCTTGGCGGTCATATGTTGCTTGGTCTACGGAAGTTATCAAAATTGTGTGCTTCTAGTTCATATGGGCTCCAACAACGAGAGCCAAATTTCAAAGGGTTAAGAAATTGTACCAATAGTACTTGTGGTAAGCATTTGAATCTTAAAATTTTTGAAGGATCTAAATGTAAAAAATTAGTTTTTTTAGATTATGTGTAGCACGAAATAAATATAGAGTGCTTCAACAAAATGTGTTGAAGCATGAGAGAAACTGATAAAAAACGTCCCTATTATTGTCGATTTATATAGAACTTTCGCATTTACTAGCATTCTAGTATTACTTGAAAATTATTGATAGCTAACCTACAATGCTTATAGTACCAATTAAAAATAAAATACTTTAATCTTATGTTTGTATAAAATAATTCAACATATATCGAATGCTACTATGTATGTGCTGTTAGAAAAATGTGCCGCATATATACGCTAGTTTTGTAAATAGACTTCATATAAATAAATCGCCGTTAAAGCCTCGATACTCTAGTAGTTTCCGAGCCAGATCGAAACTAGCTTTCCAACACAATTTACCTTCTTAAAATTCATTGGCTTAACCTTTGGTGAGTTATGGCTTTCAACTTAAACACCTAACCTTTTGGATGGAACATATATTCTTACGTTATAGATATAACAATTTTTAACCTTACAGTCAGAATCCTGTATCTTGCACCGCACACAGGCGAAAACCTGTGCTACAGCATAAGGGCAAACTAATTTCTCCTTGAACATGTCTCAAATTTTTAAGCGACCTAGGTGATTCCTAGGGACGGAGCTTAACGCTTCAATTTGTACAACTTAGCCACGAGTATACTGAATCTCTCTTATATTAGGAACAAACATTGCGCTTTGGAATATGTTTTTGGCCAGTATCAAAAGATTATTACCTAATTATCAACAATACGCTCAAATTACGGAATCCGATAGACTGATCCGCTTGTGCCAATGCAGCGTGCGCCATCCTGACAACAGCGAATAACTAAATGTCCCACGCGTGGTCTCCCATATGGCCAAGAACGCGAGCTATAGCCAGAACGGATGGATGGAAAACGATAATCTTTCAAGAACATAGTGCTCAGTTCGTCCTAAGACATTATTGCGTGGAGTCAATTCTGCACGCTGCTACAAAGATACATTACAGGTCTCGAACGTAGGTGATATAATTGTGAATTCGGCTCTCTTGAATTGCGATAATCAGAATGTTTATTTCGTTCACAACTGCAGCTGTCGAAAAAATACTTTTGATCCCATTACTAGTTCGTTCAGTGTTGCAGGTACGGAGACGTTCCAGTTGTGTTTAGTATAACGGTAACATCGTCAGATAGCTTATCTCTATAAAGCAAGTTCAAGCATTTTCGACAATCTAATAGGCTCGTAACTGGGCATATTGCGTCACATTAGCCTCTGTATCTTGTATCCACAGTCAACATTTCAGAGCATTCAAATGTGTGTCTTTGTTTGCAGACCCATTGATGTGAAAAGCATTGGTCATGTTTCGTATCAAGAATGTAGTCAAGCACTTACAAGCGGCGCCACTCTTGCAAAGAGCTCTTGGGGAATAAACGATGAGTCAATGTTGAGTGTGAAATTGGTGTCACACAAGAAGGGGCCTTAAAGACAACCATCGTCCTAGGCGACTTATCACAGCAATACAAATAAAGGCGTAGGAATATTTGAACAACGTATGCTAACGGAATACTGGGTTAACTATTAGAGAATTACTCTGAGACGAATAACTCACACCGAGGATTTTACAGGCAAACTCGAATTTAGTTCAAATTCTGACTACAACCGGTCACCACGATAATGTACCGGTTTACACGATATTCTCTGTGCAGGAAAATTTTTTGCAGGAAAATTCAAGACCTGTATTGTTTCAAATCCTGTGCTTGCTAGATCCAGTCCCCTGTGATTTTTCCCTTTTTTATGAAAGCTTAACCAATACCCGTAAGATAAAAGGATTCAAGAACAAAATCAAAGCAGATCCGAGACGCATACCTACGATTGGGATCCGAAAGCTGTTTCTAGGAGTTGTAGAAAATTATCGTACACGTGCATAAAACCGGTCAGAAATTATGTCAGAGATTTAGAAGTAAAGGCGGATCAATAACACCATTTATTTCAGTAGCCTGCCTCTTTTATTAAATTAGACTGCTGCTTTGTGGATGTATTTTTCTGGTCATATAACTGTAATCATTTGATACGATCCATTATACTTCTTCATATACTTCGATATAGAAATATATGTTCTGTACTACTCGGTACCAGGCAACCACAAAGATGTTGTCATATTTCTTTTTTTCAGTCTGCATTTCTTCTGTCTAAGCAAGTCGCATCAGCGTCAAAATTTGCCTATGGTTTTGTAATAATATGTAATACTGCGAACAAGCCGTGCCATACGCACCTCTTCTTTCTCTTTTTTTGCCGAGCATCTGCATTTTAAACAATAGTACGTCTTCTGCTCAACCTATCGTATCCGTTATTGTATAACAGTTAGGCGTGCCACACGGGAGGACACATTGGATACTTTTAAGTGTGAAGAAGAGCTGCCTGGGCATGACAAAACCATAACATGAAAATTCCGGTATGCTGTTATTCTAAACGTATTTGTACACAATGCTTGCTAGCTGTATAGAATATAAGAAATGTTATTTAGTGGATTTCATACAGTATGAAAATACAGCTCTTACTTAAGTCGGTAAATGATTCGAAAGTTCACCAGATTAGGAAGACAAATGCACAAGAAGACAAAACCGACTGAACAAATTATTCATTGTTATAGTAATGGTTTGCTCCCACCACTAAGCTAACCGTAGCCCAAAACGGTTGCGTTTTTCAGGTATTGAGTACTTGCAATGCAAAGCGTGCTATTTGGTTCCTTCGAGCTTAATACTCACTTGAGCCCGTTTTGAAATGAATATCATAAACGAATCATATCACTATTTATTCATAAAATTCTTAAGAAATGTAATTTATTATACAGTTTTAAAAGTGTTAGCGTGAGCATCTTGCTTATAAATTTCCACGTTAAAATAGCTCTAAATCACTGAAAATCATACAAGTAATCGAAAATGAATACAATTTTTGTGCCTAATCAGTCCAAGTGATTACCTCAAATGTATAATTTTTCTGTTTTTGTTCAGGTTGTGTCGAGGCTGCGTCATGCATCGCTTAAGTGACACGCCTGCTAGTAAACAAAAACAGTGCGATGATTTGTGAAAAATAAAGGAAATAGCAATCTCTGCTTACTTTTCTTTTGTTGACGCGACGCTTTCTGTGGTCAAGTACAGTAGTGTTGTTTTCGGACTATCAACATAGCAATCCATATCGTTGGAACTTCGTTGTATGTGTTTTGGTGCTCTGGATGTTTTTTGTTACTCTACAACTAATGTTGTTTTCTACGACACAGGCTGTCGAAAGCTCCAGTGGACGATAATGGACTGCGAAAGTACAAAACCACTGCTACCTAGGCTGACGAAAGTGGCACACCAATGGTACAATCACAGAATTCATTTCTAACGGTGGTTCGAGTAAGCTTCAGTAACATCAACTTACAACAAGTATACACCAACTTTGCTAAATACAATATATCAAATAACATTAATTTTACTGTAAAGTATGCTTGTACAGATTGAGCCATTAAATTTATCTTAACCTACACTATGCACTTTAGCCTTGGCCGAAAAACGGATTTAGCGATAGGGAAGTTTAGCGTAGGTACCTGTTTTCCTGACCTAAATTAGTTATTGAGATTAAGAGATTTACTGATGTTTTTGACCTGAAAAAAAAAAGTATTTTTGCATAAATATAAAGCCTCTTAGATATGCATTTAGTAAAGAATTTTCTATGTCCGAATTCACTGATATTCGCAGAAGAAACCTTATATTATGGCTATTACCTGCGGAATCCAGATCCATAAAAGTCAGATTTTCAAATTTCATTCAGTCATAATCGATATGTATCTCATGGCACGTATAACGTACTGAGGGGTTTTACTGCGTAAATGTACCTAATGTAGCCCTTAGGAAGTTACACTTGTTTTCTTTTAAAATTTGTAAAACCTGTTTAGAATCGAACGTAAATAAATGGTTACGCTATATAAGCCGAACAGTTCTCTTTTCTGTTACAGCTGTTGCAACAGTAACTCCCTTATATGACTAGTGCTAAAAATTGGACAATCGCATAATACAAAAGCGCAATACTTAGAATTGTTGGAAAAGGCTTTCCTAAAAAGAAACTTTTAGGAAAGCCTCTTTTTTAGCAAAGTTGAAAGATTAAAGTAGAAAGTGCACACAAAGATATATATATATTGGATAATGTGGGTAGATGGGCAGCATACAATGCTGGTTATCCATCTGAGTCATCTGCACCTACCATATTCCTCCAGGCTAGTAAGGTCGGTAAATAGAACCCTTTGCTTGCCTATTTAAATAGTTAAATTACGGAATTATGTTTTTAAATGAAACTAAAAGATGCCCATGAGGGTATCTATTAAAGTCGTGTTTCATCAAATAGGGTAAGAGATATGAGTAAAAAGTTCTGATAGTTCATTAACTATCCTAAACTATAAAAAAATATCAGTCCTATCAAAGTAATTACAGGTTTAAAATAGCGCTAAGGATCGAAAAACCTAACTGAACAAAAATGCAAGCGAGCCAATGCCCATTAGGAATCAAGGTTAGAACATTATAGAACTCGGTACCCTATGCCTGCGTCTTCACAGACGTAACTGCAGGGATTTCAGTAACAGATCCAATATCACTATTTTATGACAGGCTTTCTTCGCTATGTCACGCTATCACTGCAGTTTTACGGTTTAGTGTAACACACGAGCTCTATTTGAAAGTAAAGTTGCCTTCAAATTGTGTCTGTATTATTTATCTTGTTTAGCGAATTAAAGCAATGTTTAAAAATAGCAGTTTCGAGTATAAGTTCAATACACAGTACATTGTTTCTTTGCTACAAAGACTTATAATGGTAAATTATTTTTATTAGTAGTATTGAGCGTAACTCGTAAAAATGTCATAGATAAAATTTACTCGAATCTTTTACGCGGCCCGTGTGTGCGATGTGTGACAATCCAAAAGCTCCTGACATCTGGTATTCGCTGACGTTGCTTGTGACGACCGTGCGTACGACACAATACGTACCTGTGTACGTTAATAAAATCATCATCGTAACATGGAACTGACTTATATTAGTTGAATTCTGCTGTTGTTGTATATGTACTTGCACACATTTTTTATTTATACAAATTAAATATTTATCATTAGCGCAACTCGAAGCAGGGGTCCTAAGGTCTATTAAGGTGTACACATTTTGCTGCTTCGAGTTCAGTCAGTGACATAAATAAAGAAACCTAAGAACATCGTACTAACCATCTGTAGTCGTCTTTATGGAAGTAACAGTCCTTGCACCGTTTGGCGAGTACGTCCACATCTTTAAATGTCCTCACTTGCTGCAACGATGTTGAATTGCATAGGAGATTCGGAGGAGTCACCAACCTGGCTAATGGAGACGCAAGCAAACGTGTCAAAGTCCCAGCTAACGACATCCTGGTTTATGACATCCGGAATCTGCTAAACAGAACAAAAATTATGATACGTTCACACTACATTGCAATTTAGTATACTTGCGCGTTTATTGCGGCTGTTTTTGAGCCAACTCTTTGCTTATCATGAAAGCGGGTTTATTTAAAATTGTTGAGTTCCGTCGATAATGTCAACTTTGTGCTGAAACGAGATTTCACATTGGCTTTTGGTTACTTAAGCTCTAGTTCTAGCTTTAAAGTTAACCAAAGGGAAATTAACGCCAATACTTAAACTTGTTTCTTAAATAAAATGTCACTAAAAATAGAAAGTTCGGCGAATATGAAGATAGTCAACTAATTAAAAACGCCCACTGGAATCGACCATAAATGCAATTTGTAAGTTCACTATAATCACTTTGAAGTAGGCTTTAAGAAGCGGGCTGAAAACTGCTCAAACCAGTATTTCATTATTTCGAGTGATTAAATTACTATAAAATCGTATCATCAAACTTACCAAAGTTGAATAAAGTACAAGAACATTTATCATTTTGACGTTATTAGTTTAGTGCGTAAGTAATGATTATAAACTGCACTCTTTGCGCCAAACAGCAATCATCCTGCTCCGCTTTGCATTTGAGATTAGTACATTAAATTATAAACTTAATAGCTTATATATAAGCTATTTGAAAAAATCGCATTTAATCGTTGTTTCTTATACTTGTTACCATTCGCTACGTTTCTTTATGGGTCTATCTAATACCTTTACCCACGAGATGTAAGACATCTGCGTTACTTATTTATCACATGCAACCATTTACAAACTTTGCATAAATAACACAGCCAAGCTAATTCTGTTATTAATATTTGCGTCCTCGAGCCTGTGCTGCTATGTGTGCATCCGATCTTCTATATCTTAGAAAATATTTACCTTAGCTCTCCCGAAACGTAAAGATGTACCTTCAGTCAACAATTCAATACAGTCGTTACGTGAATTATCGGAACAACAATCATGGACGCAGGCTGCACACGCGCACCAATGATGTGCTCGACTTTGCGGAAAAACAACGATGGCACCAGTTGGCCGATGTGTCCTTTAAGCCGTTCTTTCATCGGGAGGCCTTTAAGTGATGGATATTCGAAATGGTGTTTAGTTGTGCTCTACCACCGTCTTTCAAAGTTCTGCTAATTCTCTATTGAAACGCAATTTTTTTTGACCAACGATAAGATTCCATATCTACTAATTTTGGATATATCGCGTTGTATTTCGCAGCAGCGTTCTTGACGTGCAAATGTAGGATTTGGTATCTACTGGTCAAACGTGACTACTTACCGGATTGAGCACCATCTCGCGCAGATTTTCGTGAACTCAAATTCCCAATATAATTTTCACTTACTTCCAATCACAGGTGAGAAGATCAACATTTTCATATAAAAGATAGTAGCTTAATCCTAAAAATCTTAAATGACCGGCGCTCCTGGCATTTCAACACTCGTATTTCTTAGAGTAATCGAACTTTTAGTGGCGACACGTTACATTATTCGCCATTTAGTCCTGTTAGTCTAGCATATTTTTTTTTTCTACTTGTTTTTTAAAATATAGGATACACTAGATGTTTCACGCTAACACACCGTTGTTTGTCCAATTCTTAAATTATAACGTTTATGATATTTAGTTGTCTTCAAATAATTGAGATTTCAGCGTCGTCTGATTAATATAGTCGTAATGAAAACTTTTGGCTTCAGTTCTTTTGTATCATAGTATAATTTTGCTGAACAATTATTTTAGATAACAAGGTACTCTTCTGGGAATGCTTTTTGAATACTTTCATACCTCTGTTATCTGCTCAGTCAATTTTCAATTTCTACGTATATCTATAAAACTACGTATTTTTGACAGCCCCGCTAGTAGTTCGATCACGTCAGGGTGCTCTACCATCTTACGTTAGACAATGTCCTAGCATTGATTTTGTATGTTACTGCGGAAGCTTGTAAGACCTTTTTTTTCTGTTTTAGCTTGTAATGATATGTGTTCGTGAAAACATTAAGGCGCAACTAAATGAAATCGTATTTCTCGAAAACCTGTATGGCTTCGTTAAGCTATCACCTCACAGTGTGTGTGAGGAATTTCAAGCCTTCGTTAATGGCGAACTAGACGATGTCCATAATCAACTGACGTGCGTGATTCTCGCTAAAGGTAATACATGTTGAAATTTGGTTCATTCATTATTATTATGTAGTTTATTTACAAACCTTTATGCGATCGTTAGCCAATCTTCACCATACGTTATCGACCTTGTCCCCTCTTGAAAAATGCGTAGCATTAAAAAGTTCTCACGAAAGTGTGTATTATTCAAATCCTCTTACCCATTTCGTTATCTATGGAAATTTCACGAGCAATATTATCTGTATGAATAAAGGAAGTTACGTCGTTAGGCTACAATAACAAAGTAAAAGATATATAAATACGCTTAACAGATATCTATCATTACTATTAAGCTATTGAAATCCGGCGAGCGTAATTAGTACACATACTATAAAGACAACGTATCAATTTTAAGTACGACCTCTTCGTTTGTTTAAAAGATTTCTAAATTTTTAAAATCTTAAAAGATTTTTTCTCGCATATTTACCTAGTAACTGCGCAATAAGACTCTTTAAAGCTACGATAACCTATATTCAGGTAATTCAATTACCTAGTCTGTACGGAGTACACTGTATTGTAGAGTTGTCTACTTTTAGCTTTTTTGTTGCCTACTTTAAAATGAAAATGTAACTCAGTATAAGTGGATTTAAGGGGGTTTAGATATGAAAACTTAAGTCGACGCCGCATGGTAAAGACCGCCTTCTGGCCCAAAGAGGTATTGCTCTAACGTACTTTGCGCCATTTTATTGTTAACGTATGAGTTTTTAACCTCAGGCACTGATAAGTCGTAAAGTTAACCATCCGTTTCTGTCGACAGATAAAAGATACAATAAAATTTTTGGTCCGTCGAGGTTCATATCATTCTGGTATTTACTCTGTTGCAAGAAGTACGACTCCCAGTTTCATAAATTAGGTGTGAAAGTTGCTGACTATTGTATAGTAATGGGCACAGATGCCGCGTGTCGAGAACACCCAAAGCATTTACCTTTTACGTCTATTTGTTTTACCCCTGCAAGTAGTCCTCATTACATAGTTAAAACATGTGACAAAACCCACTTTATATTTATATTTGACCAAACTTATTAAACACGATTGGCCGTTCCAATTTTTAGTGGGTCCTTCATTTAATTTATACTGATCACAATGCTCACTTTTATCTCTTTAGATAAAAGCCCTCCTGTTGAGGTCGAAGTTACCCTACCTCACACTTATCCGAACTCCGAGCTGCGGCTTAGAGCATCAGTTCGTAGTATTAACTCTCGAGTTAATAATAGGGATCTTCAAGAGTTTGTTAATTTAATATGCGAGCAACACGAACCAGGAACCTACTGCATATCATTCATCATCGACTACGTCAATACAAAGTGCGCTGAAAATCCGGATGGTGACTTGCCTGATCAGGTGATAAATGTAGATTAAACTCTGAACTATCTATGTGTAAAGTTTTTGTCTAAAAAAAATAGAACTTAGGTAAAATAATGCTGTTTGATCCGTCAACCAGTTATTCTTCCGCCGTTTTCTTTGCGGTCTATGGTATAGCAGGTATAGCCTGCTTTCTAAAATTAAAATTCTTTGTTTAGAACAATCTTTAATACAGTATGTAAAATTTCCTTGCATGATTGAATTAAGATAGATCAAAATAGAGCACTTGAACATAACTTATAGTCGTTTTTAGAGGAGTTTTAGTTTTCAGTACGGGGTTACTTACGAAAAGCCCAGGCATTTAAATGCTAATACAATCAAGTACGAAACTAATGATGTATATGTACCACAGACCCTGTTTGACGTAAAAGCGATAAACACTGATATTTAACATAATGCAACACATGCTTGATTTATTTGTGGCTTAGGGTCCTACTTTCAGTGCTCAAAATTCTAGAGACACGCCTGTTGAATCGTATCGTGTGTGGTTACTTTCGCATCACATATATGACAAGGTCAAGAGGCGAAAACTAGTTGAACTGAGTCTAGAAAGATCACTTGGTGGTTTTTGCCTGCCTGGAAAGCCGGGCGTAATTTGCCTTGAAGGCGATCCGAACGAGTGCGCTCAAGCGATAGCAATCATAAAAAGCTGGAAATGGCGGAAAATCGGAGTTAAGTTTGAAGAAAAATGTGGCAAACATTTTCGATTTAATGGTAAGGCTGATTTTTGCTTTCATAACCTGCCAAACGAATAAACTTTAAAAAAAATAGTTAAATTAAAATTAATTACTAAAAAAAAAGACAAAAATGCTTTCACCTTAGTAATATATTAGATGTCATTCATTTATTTGGAATGTATATTCGGAGTTCATTCTCTCGGGATGTTCCACAAACCTCTTTCAATCGTTTGTCAACTTTGTTGTATTTTTAATATAGATATATATATTTAGCATGATTTATATGGATAAAGCAATTTTTTAAATTTCAAATACCCGGTTTGAATATTTCATTTACGGGAAATAAACAATCAAACCTCAAAGGCTTCTTATATATTTTTTATAAATACGTGATGTAGAACCTCGCTGGCTGCTGTTGCGTTACCTCTACGCTATCTCTGGTTTTTCATATATAAAAGATGTAAAAGGTATCGACTTCTTGATCCACGCAACTTTAAAACAAATATAAATGGAACGGGGCTGCAGAAAATACCTTTAGTTAATTTTTCATATTTTGAAGCGTGGTTTCAACATCTGAGATTGGCTACTAAGATACGGGACGGCTGTTTGAAATGGCTGAGCATTTACTTTTGCCAAAGCCGCCATCGGCATTTGTTTGTCATGCCACTCGTTAGTATATACTGATGAATGATTGATGATACATGCCTCCCGAACATAAAATAAATCAAAAACTGATTGTTCAGTGGGTCCGGTTAATTAAAAGGCAGAAAATAATAGGTAATTCTTTTATAGATTGATTTAATATGTTGGCCGGCCGTTCGTTTATAATCTAATTTTCTAGCATCAATATGCTGCCTTTAAATTGGTCGCAAGATAGAGTAAGCGGTAGCGTCCTGAACTTGAGACCAGAATGTTTCCGGTTCTAATCGGGTTGGACGCATGCAAATTTGTATATATATATATATATATATATAGAGTACTCTATCTATATATATACATAGAGTGAGAGAGAGAGAGAGAGAACGATAAAACAAAACGTTTTAACTTTAGATGGTTTGTGCGTTACAGAAGAGCTTGATTTAGGGTGGCAAAGTTACTCCTGATAAGACACTACTCAACACGCTCAATCTCATTTGTATCAAACGCAAGCATGCACATTTTAATACATTTAATTAAGGATGTTTAGATAAAGTTGGCTACGAAGTAGACCATTCTTTAATATCGTGCGTCTAATAAATCTTTGCATTAGAGTTTGATGAAATCCGGCTGGGAATATTAGTAACATTCTACGAGGCTGCTGCGTGTTATTTAAAAAAAGTTTTTTTTTTTTTGTTGATCTTATTTATGAAGATATGTCTTTATCGTAGTACGAAAGGCCTGCGATGAAGTGGTATGAGCATAGAGTGCTCATGATGGCATAAATAATTATTTAAAATAAAGCGCTGCTTCTCTAAACAAAATCATATCACTGTGGAGTAATTTATATATATATATATATCAGTCGAACGGGTATATTCAGCCTAGCTAGATAATTAGTGCCCTATATTCCTTATTAATATGCTACGTTCTGTTACAGGATCCGTCGTTATCCCAAGACAAAACATATTGGCACTCGTCACACAGAGTTCATGTGGTTGCGAGCCACTTAAACTTTTTAGCCGTCAAGCTTTGTTGAATCTTAGCTATAAAGTGCAAATATTTTGTAATTTTGCTAATTAGTAAATTTCTTGTTGATCACTTTTTCAAATGTATTGGCAGCCTTCATCTTTTTCGCTAAATTGCCAAAGAGCAGAAACTTTGGCAAAAGGTGCGTTCGTTTATTCTGTTTTAATAACGACGCGTGAAAAAAATCTCAAAAGAATTAGCCAAAATCCTTAAAAGAGTTAGCCTGAAAAACGAACAGAGATACTAGTGCATACTATCACGAATAACGGTCTGGATCTACTTATAGAAGGGTATGGATTTTTCAAAACAGCAGCTGGTTGTTCCTTGAGTAAAATCGGTCAAAGTAATTTCAGTTAAAAAGCATCGCATACTTGAGAACTAAATCTTCAAAAGCGTAACTTCAACATTTAATACTGCACCACACTGTACAGCCGTAATATATTCGACATTCGGCACGTGACACAACAATATTTGTATGATATCGCTAAGGATTTTAACTGATACACGTATTATAGACAACGTGAAATTAGCCCTATGACTCTCGCCATAGTTCGTTTTCGGCAATTTTTCAAGGCAGTTTTGGATATAATGCGGGACTTGATCTCTCACCGTAGCAAAACAATTGATTAAGGATCATCTCCTTGTTGTCCGGTCTGCCTCTTGAAAGTTATAGAAAATATAGCAGTATATAAATTAGGGAAAATAGTTTCAGTTTGAAAACGAGAGAAGAAACAGGTTTGGAAGAAAGAGCCATATTCAGGCCGGCTAAGAGAATCTTGTAAATTGCATCTGAGGACAGACGGCAGTCGCTCAGAACGCGATAGTTTTTGGTTCTTCTATTGTTGGATGTGGAAAATAAAGATCTCGTCGTACTTAAGACGGCTTCTTTTCGTTACATCTGAAGAACAGGTTGCTGTTAATCAAAGGCATTTACATGCCAGTCTCGGCTAAGTCGATCCAACAGAAGAAACCTTCGTTATAGTGACGTGCCCTCAACATCAAGCATGCTGAGTGACGCTTACTTAATCGCGTATGCCCAGGACCTGGTCTTGCTCATGGAAGCTCGTACGCAGGATTCATTGGAGCTAACAGCAAATGCTGCCCTCGCCGAAATAGACAGCTAGGTGATTGACAATCGCTTTGTAATCACGCCACATAAGTGTGAGTCAGTTCTCCTGGTGAGACGCAAGCCATGCGAGAGGGCCTTACGATTGAGAGAAGTGTCATATGATTGAAGAGGGTTCGGGAGTAGACTGGTACAGGAACTGGACATAAATAGCTTTAAATCTTTGCAATTTAAATAAAAAACATCTGGCCGGATACGTGCACTTCATGGCCGACGGAAACTAGGATTACATGGAAGAGCGATGCGCAGCACTAGAACAAATAGGACCCGATCAGGCATTTGCAGAACTCAGACTTTTACGGTTAAGAAAATGGTCGCTAAAATGCTCCCCTCCCAGGCAGAGTGGGAGCGCAAACAAGTATGTCTGGAAAGAGTTATGAGAATTAAGAATGAAAAAAAAAACTGTAGTAACAAGGATTTTTGAAAAGAAGAAAAAGGGTTGAAGATGACTCTGCAGATTTGGGAAGAGTATTCTGCAAATTAGGATACATGTTCAACTAATGCAGTCAACGAATCCACAGAATCCAAGCTCTTAAAGCATATTCCAGATGCACGTTTTGTGAATATCTAACCTCCATAGTATTGAACAAAAACACCTTATAATGTGGTTAATTTCTATATTTTCATAACTTTAGTAGCAGCATCCTTATTCCAGTAATATATTCTATCAAAAATGCTACTTTTTCGTTGTTATTTCTTTAGAAATACTTGGCAGAACTTAACGTTATGGAAGCATACTAAGTAGAATTACTTTAATTTTTCGACGAGACCATTTAAAAATTGGCCTCGTTGAATCGCTTAAGAAGTTGCAATATGCTGGTACTTGTTCGACCATATTGGACTTGAGAAGCCTTTATTCAGGCTGACACAGATTGATTGCTCTGTGTGAAGTCCGGTCTTACTATATATACATCGTCTTTGCATCGTGTATATGCATTGTATCTACATTGTGGATCCTCTTTTAAACCATGCTGAAGAAAATACGTGATACATATCGGTTTTTGTTGCTCGTCAGCTACAACAGTAACTGTTCTCTAGGCGATTTATGAGCAATATGTTTAAGGATACTGAGCCTCATGTGTAGTTACTCCCCTCAATGTGGAGTTTACCGACCATATCTAATAGCGGTACCCACCTGCCTTGCACTTTCCTTTGTTTTTAATATCGGGTTAATAGTTTTTAAGCTCTTCTAAGCAGGCTCTTGTTTACGTTTGTGTCCTTATCTCTGCCGTTTTTTAGAAAAGAGAAGAAGCTTGTCATAAGGCTTACAAATACCAGGCTTGCTCTGGCCGCATTTATGTATCCACTAATACTCTTTTAGAGCTACGCAGGTTTGACCGCAGTCGGTTATTTTAACAATGGCTAGCCGACGAGAAAAAGTTTCGAACTAAACTTGCAACTAACCCCATTCCCTAGATCGATTACATGAAATGCTAGTGATAGTTGGAAGGTTTTTCGTTGAGGAAATTACTAACAGAGCTTTGCGGAGGCGCTTTTTGGTGTGCGTTATAAAACTTGTCCTCTTGGGGGTACGTTCTAGTCTTTGATCACGGATATGATTTTCGAAGACCTTCGTTTATGAGACATCTTTTTTATGCACGACCATAAATTTATCACGTATTTTCAGCTTGTCAACCGGAGCCAGGCATCCTTCCCAACTTAAGCTTAATTTTTGTCACTCATGTTTTAGAAATATTTGTTATTAGCTTGCTGCATAAACAGTTAGAAAAGCTCGTTTCGCGTGGGAAACTACGTTTCTGTTCGAGTGTTATTTGGGGGCTGAAACCTTTGCGCCCATACAGCGTGACAAGTTTAGAACCCATTTCTAGTATATTACGAGCAAAGAATGTAATGATGAGTACGGCGGCTAAGCGTAGCTTTGCGGTACATATGGCGAAATATTTTCTACTAGGAAGTAGCTCGAACGAAAGCATTGACTTACGAAGTTATTATCTATTAGATATAAACTAAAAAGAATAAGTTGTTAGCTTAATTCAATCATTAGCTTGTACGATAATATCGAATTTGCAATGTTTAATCCCTCTAATAGGCTAATAAAAACTCTGATATTAGTGTAACGTTAACAGTCATCAGCACGATCGACTGGGTTCCTAAATATAATGCATAGTATCGTCGCAAAGCCCTGGTCAATACCGATCCACTAACATTTCCACATGTTTTAGTATGCTTGTGCTACTACAAATTATTCTATTATTGAAACATTTTAAATCCAATTTTTTAATTTCTAACATTGTAGGTGTTTTCAAGGAGTTAACGTGCAACAAAGCTAATCAAGGTGCTGGAAAAAGGCTGCACATGGACCTGGGAGTGTTTTTGAACTACCTTGAAGCTCGAGATCTGAAATTTGCGTTTTATGAACTCTTCGGAATACAATAAAAACAAGCGGACCGTATGTCTTGGTAAAATATTGATAAACAACTTAGGTGTTGTAGATAGGGTTCAGTCGTAATTCGTTCATCTCTTGCTTAGCCTTCCGCATCACCGTTCCAGAAAGCGACTGCTTTCTGCCACAGCTTGGTTTAATGGCTGTCGATTGGTAATCAATATTTTGGCGCGTACGCCTCTCATCTGACCCTTATATTCAAAAATAATAGATTTTAATAGCTTACAGTTCTTAATTTTCGTGAAGACGTCCTGTACGCCCGTGAGTAAGTGAGTTCAAACTTGGACACTCTCGTATGGAAAAGTATATATGCCAGTACGTAAATGAAAAGTTGTGTGCCACCGGTTGAGCTCATCATGCCTTTTTTACTCACTCTATCCTGAAATATTTAGTTGATACCAGCTATGGTACGCTTAAGACAAAGTGTTATATTAATGTTGCTCATCAGATCATTGCCGTTTAATCTAACAATATGAAGAACAAATGGTAAGTGTCGCGTTAATTAATAATTCTTTCGCCTGCAAGGGCTCTAACCTAACACCAATTCTATACAAGTCAGTAACGTTCTACGTAAAAAATAGATAATAAGTAGTTATGTGCCTTTCAGTTCCCTTTCTCTGGGTGAACTTCTTAGTCTGCTTTCTGAAAAGTGGTTAAGAGAAATCGCTAAGTTTATCTATATTCCCTAACAAAGTACTGTGCTATCTATTGTAGCAAATGGTTGTATCTTTTTATACAACACACGCATTTCACTGACAAAAATCTTCTCTTTTAAGTAAGTACACTGACCGCTCTTCTGATTTAGTACCACAGTAGTTAAGTATATGATTCTGCAGTTTTGAGACCACATAACCTTTAATTACATAAATTGCATCATGTTATGAATATCAACGATTTTTGTATAATAAATGTTACTTAAATTATTTAAATATTTTGCACTAATTTTTGCACATTTGAACATACCGAGCTTCAGCTTTCGTAATTTGGTTTCTTTAAATACGTTGGGGCCCGTGTACGTTATCGCACTGGAATTAGACTGTCAGATAAACAATGCAGCTTCTTTTTACGACTTTCTTAAGAAGTAAAAAAAACATAAATCGACCAGCTATTTCTAGAAAAGTAGTTTCTAGAAAAGTTTTATCATATCGTGCAGTTTAGCTATGCGTCTCTATACAGACTTACAATATACGTTTATTAAGCGTGAAACACAGGTCATATTTCTACAGCCCCGTGACTAGTTTGTACCATCATCTTTCAAACGTATATAGTAAGACTTGTTTAGAAGTTTAGTGTCTGTATACTTGATATAGATACTTGAGAATCAAACTAGTTTTCAAGATCCGATCATGCAATTCACTGCAAAGCATGTGTGCGTTTTAAGCCATCGCAATTTCAAAAATGAAAAAGACAATTATGATTTTCTTGAACTGCAGTGGTTGTGTAGCAGAGATTCCTTTTCTGCAGCAAGGGCGGGGCTTTACGTATTGATAAATGTATAGTACTTTTCAAAAATATATAGCAATATTTTCAAACATCGTAGGGGCTTATCAAGCTTAGATCACATTACCGCGCAACAATTTAACAATAATTTTAGGTCCGAAACCTAAAATTACAGGAAAGGCATAATTGTATACAATATCTTGCTCAAAGCGATACAAACTAACGCTGACTATAATTTGGACGATAGTGAGGCTGATATCATAGGTCTGTTTTTATAAATTGTGTGTTCGAATTCCGACATTCGCACAGATATTTAACAAGACCTTCTGTGGAGAATTTGTGTTCAACTTTTAATCTGTTAGCGTGCCATCATCGTGTAATGGGCAAGGACAAAAGAATAAACTAAGAAAGGACTACCGGTTCGAACAATATCAATACCACACGAAACATGGAGGTTGCATGGTACCAACTACGTAGAACTAACTGGAATAGTAATTTCTGCAATGATTCGGTAGCAATGTTTTGCTAAACATAAGGGCTTATAATTCTTCGAGTAACCACGTTTGTTCCGCAGCAGTTTGGTAGCCGTTCTGATCCAGTTCCGGATCTAAAGTTCAAAACAATTTGTTTGCTATATCATTACGCACGTATATTGTTTCGCACGGATATTTTTTTTTCCGACAATTCGGCATGAGGTCATAATGGCCGTTTTCAGTTTTTTTTTATAGCAATTATTTTATACGGGCAAAAACATTCCCCGGGACGATTTCTTCTACATTCTTGACGATATGAAAGTCACGGTTAGCGTTATAATAATTTACCATTTGGAACGATTTCTCTTTTGCATGACAGTATATACCTAAGCACTACCATATTAGAAAAAGTTTAGTACCAGCGAGATTCAGAATCCTTTGTATTCGTTAATTACGGACTCTCAAAAAAACCTAAATTAAAGTGCAAGTAATGCCGATTGAACGATAAATATTATCGAGCTCTACGTTCGGTTTACGCGAGGCATTGCTACAGAGTGCTACAGACCTAGACCATTTTACATGTCCGTGTGTTTGGTACCTTGGTATCGTTACGGGAACGTTCTGAAATCAGTTTTTTTAATATACATTAATACTTTCTTTTTAGGCTCAGTACAGACTTGTTTTAGATTAGAAACAATGTGATAGCTTTGAGTTTATCGGTGAGTAGAAGACTTTGGAATCCATTTATCCTTACTAGCGCCTTGTTTGTGTGCTTCACCTCGCGTAGACATTAATTTTTATTCTTAGGTATGTAAAGTTGCTAAATTTCGACAGCAACGATAGTCTGTTAGATACGCTGTGGCTACTTAAATCTGGGGGTTAAAAGAATATTTTTTATTGTATCTAAATAAAAAGATTTCACGAATTTTTTTCACGTGCTAAGAGTGTTGTTCGTGAGAATTATGTTTATTTAATATAACGACCATTCACCCTGATTCTCCCTAAAATTCGGGATTGTTACTCACTAGTTAGTGCTTAAAAATACTGCAAATATCATTCAACCACGCATCTACCGATATAAAGTGTGAACGTGTAAAGATATCGTCGGGGTAAGTTTTATTCGAGAAATTTTAACAGAATTAAATTTCAGGTTGACAACAAATGTAAAGTTTTAAAAACAAATTATTTTTTGTTCAGCGCGGAGACATTGAATAGAAGATGATCTTTACGCATATTGCAAAAACGATGCAATTGTGTTCCGTTATGATAAGCTTTGTTGTAGCAACAACTGGCTGTCTTCTGGTACCAAGGATAACGAACCGGAGCACGCTCGCTATGACAAACAGCCCGCCAAAGCTTGAGTTTAAATGCCTCATTGATTCTCCATCAGACTTACCTCTTGATGATCTCATGATGAGCTATTGGTCGACACCAAGATTTACCTTCCCTTCACAGAGACGCTGGTGTAAAACAAGGATACCATATAACCAAAAGAACAAATGTTCAACAAAGTTTTGACCGGTATTGATAGTGACCATTTTGTCTTCAAAAAGCTGTGGTACAGCCTACATACTAAACATGTAAAGAAGTACCAAAATGACCTATCTCAGCTTTCAAATATAAATGTTTATTAATTACATTCGTAGATAAAAAACGTTCTTGGATGGAGTTTGAAGAGTTGGTATTACTGCTTATAACGCGTGTAGCGTTGTTTCTACATATAGTATTTAGCTTCAATTTAGTACAGTACTCGATGGCAAATCATTATTCTCTGTACAAGAGTTTTATAGATTGTTATCACTTTTGAAACATCACTTCTACACGTACTTAGTTTATATATTTTATAATATACCTAATAATCTTTCGTAATTTATGCAAGTTTATATAATCCTATCTAGTTTTTCTTTGATTTAGCAATTGCTACGCTTACAAAATAGAAAATAAATACAGCAGTTCTTACTTGCGTTAAATAAGGAAAGGAACTAGTGACTGAATACTTTAATACTGAATTGAATCTGATATTTCAGGCAAGCGTTATAGGTGAGATACATTCTGGTTGTTGGTTTGGTGGACGAGGTGAGTGCTCGTGTGAAACAATGCGGCAATTCTTGCTTGGGTTGGGTTGTCGCCTGGGGACGTTTAGTGACCGAATGTTTGGACAGCATCTGCTGCTGACAAATGTGGCCGTTTCAACGGCGATGGCCTTGGCGGGCGACGGAGTGCAGCAGTACTATGAAGTAGCCTGCAGTTTTCAAGACAAGCTGCACATCAAGCGGACTATGCACATGGGGGCTGCTGGTTTCACAACCGGTTAGTTGTTAACATATTATGGCACTATTAATTTCACTTATGACTAGAAATAAGCTGTTTGGAGCTTTAGGTCTAGCAACACACATACATTCCTACTGTTATGAATAGTATTTTGAATTGTTTGGGTTGAAACTCTTCGTACCGACTTCCACTTGAATTTTGTAGTACTCTATCCTTGTTTAGTTGGCAGTCATCTCACAAAGTTTAGTAGAGAAAGACACACAGAGCAATCGATATTCAATTAATTTAAGAAAGTGCGTAATTCACTAGTAATCTTTTGGTATCTATCACATATTTTCTAGGTTTTTTTATCTTAGTGGAGAATTATTTATATGAATTTATTCAAATTCTTCAGCACTTTTGACGCATATAAAAATTGATTGAATAATATATATGCATATATGCAGAACTGGTAACATTTTACAAACCAACGAGCGTAAATAGAAGATCTCACCCACGGCCTATTAGTTCTGGAGTCCTCGTCCTCCTGCAACTGAAATTCGGTATAATGACGATTTATGTATAGAATGATTATTCAATCAATTTCTGTATGCATCAAAAAAAAATAATATATTGATCTGTACTGTGGAAGGTATGCCTTTGAAGGAAAATTAGATCAGAACGGTTTTTGTAAAAAATGTTAATTAGTTACTGGAGTATAGACACAATACTAAAACGTATCAGAAAAAAGGCCAAAAAGTAAAATAATGTTCCGGTTAAAGTATTTTTGACGTTCAAACGTTACGCCGTATACCTTTCAATGGCTGTTTTGCCGATTTTATCGAACTGTTCAGAAGGTAATGGCGAGTTGTCCGTCTAATAAAAACGTAGTGTTCATTCGAATTTTAGCAACAAATTAGCCAAATATTTGTCGTCACTTCCTTCGGCCAATATCGAATCCAATATCGAATTCTTCTGATTAGATTCCTTCGGATTTGGTGCCCAGCAAATTTTCGACACTTTAAGTTGTTAAAAGTATGGTTTATAATCGAATTTGCCGTTATTTTCGCAAAATCTAGTAGTCGACAGAGCGATATCCAGAGTATAAACTAGCTAGAAAACTACTTCCCATTCAGGGTTTTGCAGCCTGGTTTTAGCGACCTTTACCATATTTCTTTACTATTAGCCAGGCTTTTTTACTCGATGCAATTAAGCCATAAACACATTTTGCCGAGCTTTCTTCAGTATTTCCCAGTGTACAGGGCCTTTCTAGCCCCACTGAACGCGAATTTTCTTGAAATGGAGAAAAGTGAAATTTCCTCTGGGATTATGTAAGTCGACCAGGACGGAACCATAGCTTCGAGCAAGATGCCGTTATTGAACTTACCAAGCCACCTTTAGGTAATTCTTTCAGGCATGAGGTCTACGACGTATAGGTTATATCCTTTATTGAACTTATAAAGCTACCAAAACAGTAAAAGATAAAATGCAGTGAATGCAAATGTTCTCCATTTGAAACGTTTATTTTGAAAGCCTAGATTTGAGATAAAAACCATTTCAGTACACATTCTGAAGAGAGATAACTTCCTTGGATGATTAAACTAATAGAACAAAAGTAAAGAAGAAGGCGACCATCTAAAAAGTCTCCAATACTTTTCGAATACGTTGATAGCTGCAGAAAAAGTTGCAAGAGATCGTAGAAAAACATAAAATCCTAGGAAAGGCAGGGATAGGCAAAACGTGAAAGCAAATATTAAAAATATATATTACTATACAAGTGCAACGTAGGTAAAAATAGGTAAGCAATGACACAAAGCGGGTAAGTGGTAACAGGGATAACAGGGATTTTGTATACTGGATCGAACTTATCGTCATTGTGTACAGCATAACAATGTTATTTTAGGCTTTTTAGATTTTTGTTTTGCGAATTTTTTATTCTTTATTATAAGAATTTATTATTGCGGTTGATTTGTTTCTTTGCATGATTGGTGTGATTCTTCTGTATAAACACTTAGTCCCCCCTGGCCTACACAGTCGGTAAATTTCATACAATCGTAAATATTACTGTTTAACTGCAAGGACAAACAAAAATCTGCATCTTGTATCATCTCATGTTAACAGGTAAAAGCGACTTAAACAGTCTGTTTGTTAACAAGTATAGCCTGAAGGATTGACGCGTTGGTAACAGCGGAATCAGAGGTGTCTAACTCAAACTCTATAGGGCACACGTAAAACACCTTTATAGATAGCGCAGATATTTTTACACCTGCTAGTATGCTTATGAAGATTATTGTTACCGTCGTTAATTATCGTCGTTAAGTAGTAATTTTGGAAGTTTAACCTGACAGGTTAGATTGTTGATCATAATTCTTTACCGTAGCACAAAATAGCTTAGGTAAATTTTTAGTTGAGCATAGACGTCTGTTCAGTATAGTTCCAGAATGTTCATTGGTACAAAATCCCCTAGCAATTTTTTCAATCAACAAGTTTAAAAAGCATTCTTTTACCTTTTATCGCAGGCATCGTAACCCACTACTGGTACAACTTCTTAGATCGCTGGTGGCAAAGTAGAGCGGCAAAAGTTGTGCTCAAGAAGGTTCTTTACGATCAGATTCTCTTTTCGCCTATATGTCTCACCATATATTTTGGAACACTCGCCATCCTTGACGGATCCAACTACGATAAATTTAAACATGAACTCACAGGTAAATTTGATAATTTGTATACCACATACATTTGAACAAAACATAGTTCTGCCATATATATAAAGCCTAATATAAAGCATTTACTGTTTTCATATATGTAGTTTATATCTGGTTACTGTGGTTGTCTGTATAAGCCTATATAAACCGAACAGATGCATTCCGTCAGCGCAACGTAATGGTTCTCTCTGTTTACGTTTACACTGTGTGAGTGTAGATAAATGTGCAAATACAGTATCGTTTTTCTGTACAAAAACTTTTACTTCAAACTCCAGTTGATTCAAATCCGAATAAGAAAAATACGCAATCTTCAAATAAATGGGCACATAAATTGGCGATTGTGCACTTATTTGCGTTGGCATATTGCATTGTCAACCTTTATCGTAGCTTTACTTATGGCGTCGGTAGATAAATAACCGCAAGGGGTAAGTACCATGCTACAGGCTCGTTCAGTTCTTAATTTCTGCTTGTAAGGTCATCAAATCGTCTTTGGTAATTTTTTTGTAAATCACATGGTTTCAATTTAACCTTAAAGCCCACCGATCTTAACACTGTGCTCAAAGCGTTGTTAATCGTGACTTGTGTTAAAAGCAATAATGGCTGATAACGTGTCACTGATGTGCCATGCGGGAAGTCGTCAGGTTTACAGGTCAATCTTAAATCTTACCTTAGAAGTGTCGCCAAAAAAACTGGTGTGCCAATCACAGAGGCACTCATGCAGCCTGTAATGGCCGGCGCAGTATGAAAAGAATCACACGAAAACAAGAGCAAACAGGTTGTACTTGAAGGTGTCCAGTCATTTTCAAGATATTCCGTTGAAAAGTGATTGCATTGCAATCGATGGATCAACATGTATGTGAAAATATACAATAATGAAATAACACATCTAAATTACAAATGAAATAATGAGAACGTATTTAAATAACAATAATTTCTATATGAATTTTCTGGTTCCTTTCTTGGGGAAGGGTTGTTTTAGATTGCTTTTTTTATTACATTCACTATGTAGATACTTAGTTGAGCGTACTTGCCTTTAAAAATTATGACTTTCTCGTACGTTGATTGCAAGATTTGTATTTATCTACTAAAATTTTTGCTCGTCCCAGTCACATAAAAAATAACTCAGGGAAATGTGAGTGAACGTGGTTTTTTCATTTAGACGTTCAATGCTTTCTATTTAGTGAATTTCAATAAGACTGTTTTTTTTTACATACAATCTTCCCACACAGTGGAAACGTCTCCAAAATTTTTTATTTATTTATATTTATAATTTATAACGAGCACAGCCAGTTTCTAGAGCCAGCCCCGATTTAGCAGTCGGAAATTTCATTGTGATTTCAGAGCTTGCTGAAGAAAAATAGGCTGGGTGTACATTTTCATACGAGTCAAAAAGGCATTAGCATAATCATTAAATGCATCCAATTCGAAGCTTCAAAGGGCCAGCACATGACCGCGCACCTCAGTTGTTTGTTGCTAGATTTCTGAATTTAAACGCAGTTGAAAGGACGGCTGCCGAGTGCCCGGTAAAGCAGTTTTGAGAGAAATGATACCAATTGATTTTCATTGCCAGACAAGCGAACCTTGATGCGTAGAATAGCAAACACCTGTGACATTTCATCGTCACTTAATTCTAAATCTATACATGAATACGCGGTCATAGACAATCTTTTACCGAAATAATGTTACCTTTGCTAATGACAGATAAAACAGCAACCGGCTGGAACCATTAAAAAGTTCGAAATAACTCAACGTAGTTACTGACGAAAGGTGAAGCAACCATGACACTACTGGAAAGAAACGTCCAAAAAATGGAAGCAACGGACCAGCTACAACATAGTCACCTCTGAGCTTGGCAGCCAAGAAAATGGGGCGTGCTATTTTGCGGGCGCTCGTGGAATTTGTAATTACTTCTATTTAATAACCCGTTTAGTTTAAATGTGAAGGACACTAATGGTACAAAATGTAGCAAAAGGGAGGAGGCTTTAATAGAACGATTTTGTATCTTACAAATCCGTTTATTCGTGGTAGGCCGAAAACAAAAGGAGCGAGGTTCGAGTTACACACTCTGTCTATTGAGTGACAATTGGAAAGTGTGCGTGAGGCGAAGTATGGCCAACAAATGCAAATCACGTTTAAATCAAAATGAACAAAGGTTGTTTAGAGTTTTGTTTTGTATGAATGCTGAAATACCTAGCATTTGGTTTTGACGAACTAGTGGTTACGTTTGTTTTCTATTTCAGATAAAGGCAGTACCGTATATACAGTCGAGTGGTTGATATGGCCACTTGCGCAAACGTTTAACTTTTACTACCTACCATTGCGTTATCGGGTGGTGTTCGACACTGTTATTTCATTTGGATTTGACGTCTTCACTCCGTATATCATATATCGCGACCAGCGTAAATTTAGTAGACAAATAGTCTACAAGAACGTCTCTGAGACAGGTATTCAAAAAGAACCATCCAAAATTAGCCAGCAATGCTAAATTAGTTCTTCCCAATCAGGTTGAGGCACTGTCAAACAGACCTATTCCCGGCAAGAATATATGAAAACAAAAGCCGCATATTTTAATTTTACATGTTCAAAAAGACTGAATAAAAGAAAATAAAATTGAGTGGCGCGTATACTTTTATAGAGAGTAAGTTGTCGTTGTTAATATCAAGGAACAATATTGAAAACTTGAATTAGGCAGCCCAACATTTTGCTAATAGTGATGAATTGTTAGAGTATCATTATTTTTCGAATAGGAGCGTGTAAGAAAGAGTGAGTAAAGGCTTGCTTAATTTAGAGTTTATTCATATTGCATTGATATTTTTTGCAACCGTTTAGAGTAGTGACTAACACACTGCACTTCAAAGTTAGAAATAAACTATTAGTAAACAAAAGAGATGTCTCATAGGAAGTAAGCGTAAAATTACATATGATTTTAAAATATATTTGTTTGAAAATACACGTTATTTTGTTTCGTTTTTTTTCTTTTTTTCATCTTCATCATTTTCAGATTTGTTCATCTGACACAGATATTTGTTTGTTACCACTTTCCGGCTAAGCAGCAGTACGGGTTGATTAAAAGAAAGTTTTATCTCCTTAAATCTATGCAAGATTGGGCAATTCGTCAGAACTTTGTTGTGTATTTCAGTTTCTTCATTTTGTTCATTCCGTTTTTAAAAGCAAATTGAAATTACGATTCACTACTTTCATGCAGATTTTATTAATAATTATACATCTGTTGACTCATACAACCAAAGAATGGGCAATTTACTAAGACTATGATTGATGCAGTACCAAGGGAACGATAAGTTAACCTCTAAACTCTACACACTAACCATAACCTTAATAAAAAGATAATGCGAACCGCCGTTTAGTGGGTTCTATTGAATGCTTCAATCTTCTCAATATTCGTATGTATGAAAAACAAGTAAATATTATGATAAACGTTTTTTGATATACAAGCAAAGAAGTTACGTAACAGATTACTTAGATGTATATCCAGTTGCGTTGGCTTGCACTTAACGCTTTAATAATAGCTTTAGAAGGTGTAGTGCTTCATGCGTGAAACAGACAGTGTATAGTGTTTTTAAAAATTTTATTAATTTCCATTATAAGGGCAGATTAAGCCTCTGAGTGAATCATTTCTCAAAAATCATTACGATCTCAACATCTTATAGGGTAAAACATATAATATCAAAGGAAGGTCCGTGCGAATATCATATGAATAATAGAACGAATTTGAGAATAACGATTCGACTGACTACAGACAATTGTAGCTTTTTAATAGACGAAGCAGACGATAGGATATGAAAACAGTTACAGTTTGAATCAAAAATAGTTGTTTTTTATCTTTTACAATTTTTTTGAAGCTGTCCGCTACTATTACGAAAGTAGTTTATTTTATGACCTCAATTCGAAATAATTTTGTAATCCGAGCAATACAGAAGCATTGTAGTCGCTTCAGTAATAGGTGGCGGCCCTTAGCATAAAACAGACCCTTCGTAGAAACCTGAAACAGTTCATTAAATATACCTGCATTTTTGATTAAACCAACTTTGTGTGATTGGCACATCTAAAAGTAAATATCTAAAAGAACATACGATTTAGATTATATAGCCATCTATTAGTAAAGTTAATGCAAAAACCTGGAAATATTATGCCTACTGGTTGCTCCCCAGCCATTTTTTCGTTAATACGTCTTTGATAGTGCAAAAAGTGACGTCTTTGCTAAATTTAGGTATACATGGTGGGAGCCAACCGCCTTCTAAGTATAAGTACACAATATCAAACACAAAAAAAGGAAGTTTATTAATACAGAATTGTTTTATTAGATTATTTATTAATGCGTATTGTATAAACTTACGAATTAATGAATGATATTTAAAAATACGGTAGGGGAAAGTGGGGTTACATAGAGTCAAAATTTTTCTGTAAAGGAAGAACGAGAAAAGGATATATCGGTATATAAACGATTAAAGGCACCCATATCACTGGCCCACGTGATCCTACCAGGTTGGGTAATATATGAACCAAAGATGGGAATATATGTGCCACTAATAATTTTGTATGAAGAGAAGCCTGTCAAAACACTCATTCAGATACCACCCTTATAATTTTTAATTAAGCGTTACCTAAGTGTAATTGTGTTCTTGCAACAAAAACACATATTGGTAGTCAAATGAACAGAAAATTTATTGGAGCAGCATAGCTAAACAGAAGTTACTTTACAGGAATTATTTTGAATGACAGCTATGGATGTCACTCACCCAAAGGAGACTCGATAAGTCCTGTACTAGTCGCGTAGTTATCCATGATTAATAATAATTAATTAGAATAACAATTAATCGCGATAAAACCAAGAGAGTCCTAAACACTTTCGTTATGATCTATTCAGACAGGTTTGCATCATCTGAGGTTCCAGTGAGTAAACCTTGTGGCGTGTGTTCTAAGAAAACGAAACATGGCGGGATTGTGTCTTCACTGTTGGACAGACCGAAAATCGTTATAGCAAGAGCGTCTAGTCAAATTATATAGGCTAGTTATAATAAGTTCTACAGAACACTAAGGATTTTGACCGAAGAAGCTAGTCTTTCATCAAAGCTAAAAAGGAAACTCTAGGTAAGGCAGATTACTCTACCATAATCCTTCATACAGTTCTAGCTGGGTTTATTAGCAAAAATATTAGTATGTACATGAACTACGTTTAGTCGTAAAAGTAAGGAGGAACAGTAGTAACGTGGGCACCTAATAATTCTCCATAGTGAATTGAGATCGTAATTATGCGCAATATGGTGCAAAATTTGACAGTTTTGTTTTATCCGAACTACGTGCTATGGCACTAAGATCATAATTTTTTTAAAACCAACATGTTACATATTGTTGACAATATCATGTGACACAGCGAGTGCGAAAACACGATGTCTAATTTTAACTTACCATATAATCACATATATACAGTTTTACCAAGCTGAATTTGTATTCCGAAGTCACTTATTTGAATTAGCGTCGACTTTCTCCAGCTTCATCTATGTCCAAAATGCATTGGCTTTTCAGGCATGGCAAAACACATAACAAACCTTCAGGGCGGTAAGAAAAGTGCATGTAAGAACTTGTATAAAACGTAACTTGCCTTCAAGTTGCTTTTAAAAGCGTAGCTTAGGGAAGTTTTATGAAATCTGAAAAAATATTTGGCTGTGCCATTTCACTCTACTTTTTGAAATACAATTAAAGAAAACAATTGTAACGCGAACTGCATAAGTTACTGATACGCGTGCACTTAAAAAAATGTAGGAGAATTGTTACTTTAGAAAATAAAATTTGTTAGAAAATAAAAAATAGATTTAAATCAAACCTCTCTTGCTAGAAGGACGTAATTGCCCATCCGGTTCCTGTCCTATATAGCAACATTACCCTCATACGAGCTAATCTTTCTAAGTTCTTTACAAGCAATGACAAGAGTACCAGAGTAGGTTGTTTTTTTAAGTGACTTTCTGATGAAAAGTTTTACAGCTGATAAACAGGACATCGTGTACTCATTTACGAGTGTGAAGTAATAACAATATGATGCTTTTTAGGGTATCATATGTATCGTAATGCCATGTAAACATCTAATTCACTTGTACATAGGCGTTACTATTTATTTTCAACGGCGCGCTATGTGAATACAAAGGTTTTGTTTCTTTCAAAAACAACCTTAATAATGTAAAACATAAGGAAATAGAGCATGCTAGATATATATATATATATATATATATATATATATATATATATATATACATATACAATATAATAACTCCTAGGTGTTGTTATCGCTATGGCTGATGCACGGGGTGTTGCCGTAAATTGTAGGTAGTGTAAGTGGGAAGCGAGTTGCCGCTATACAGGAATAGAGAAAATGGACGGCCAGTCTGTGAAGCTAAAAGTGATGGAGCGTATAACAGAGTGTTGAAAGTTGCGTTGCTACAGAATCCATCATTTTTTACCTACTGGCCAACTGGGTAGAACAGCAACGGGCGCTTCCAGTGTCTCTTAAATGCCTGTTTGAGATTTCTGTATTTTTACTAAGCCCGCCCAACACTAATCCGAACCGGTTGTGGCTAGTTTGGAGACGTGATATTTGTTTGTCTGCAAACACGCTTTGCTTATTAAAAAATACGAGGCATTCTAGATGTATTCCCTAGGCATTTTCATCATACGTTTCTTATGTATACAGGCACAGCTAGGAAGTTTAAATTAATTAATAGTTCATTAGTTAATTTAACTAATATTCTGCTTGACTTCTATTATATGCAAAGTTGAAATTCCACTCAGTGTTAAAGTAGCTTACAAGGTTTGAAAGTTTGAAAATGTTTGGCATTACATTGCAATAAGCTGTAAATACCGAAAAGTTTAAGCTAGAAATGTACCTTGAAAATTGAGTTTCACCAGCGAAAGTCAAGCATAGTTCAAATTTGAACCGCTTGAAAATTTAAATTTTGCCTCGACTTAGGGAGAATAACACGACAAAGGTTTAATAAACGAACGATGGGCACGTATAGGGACTTTCTAGGAACACTGGCATTTGTAAGATGGACAAGCATGCATCTGCTACTCTAGCCGATAACGTGCTGTGAGCAAAACTTTTTATTAATACCCTTTTTAGTATATACGGAACATATATATATGTTCCGAGCGCTCGAGAAGCGTTACGTAACCACCGACGAAGAAGGAAGTGTGGTGCTTGCTGAGGTACTTCAATCTCAAATAGTCGAGAGTAGTGCACTGTCTGATACAGTGAGGAGTGCGGCTTCGGACGTAAAACTCAAGACTTAGGCGAAATTTGGTTATATACTTCTTTATAAGGAAACTGAAGCAATCGTTCCCTTAAGAACTCCCTATAACTCCAGCGATCTTGGACAAATTGTTCTGGCACTTTATTTGTAAAGAGTTTGTTAAATGTTGTCGAAGCTTTTATTTCAGTCTAGCTAGGCCACTCTATAACTCGAAGGCCCTTATGCATGTCATGTCGTGATGGTTGATATCAAATAGCGTACCGTGATCGAGATAGATGATTGCAACGCTCATTTGCTTTACATTTTGATGCAGTTAGTTAGATTCGAAGATACTTGCTACGGCCCGTTCCTA